GCTACAGCAAGAGTTCAAGGAGTTGATTTAAGGGGAAAGATCAGAAGCAGGGTTTGGAAATAAGTTTGAGACACCTATTACCCAGCCAAGGGGAAATGTCAGGGAGGTTGTGGGATATGTGAGTCTGGAGTTTTGAGTGGTTTGGAGTGAAGATAGAAATGCTGGAGTCATTAGCCTGGGATGAGATGATATCTCCTATGAAGTGAGATAGAAAAGAGACGAGGTTTAGATTTAGACCAGGCACTCCATGGTTTAGAAATTCACAAGCCAACAGAGACAATGCTGAATGAGTGGCCAGTAAGATAAGAGAAAAAGCAAAAGAGAAGGATATCCTGGAACCCAAGTGAAGGAAATGTTTCAAGAAATAGAGTGAACAACTGTGCCAAGAAAGCAAGGTTGAGTGATTATGTCACTTGTTCAAAATGGGACACTTATGAGATTGAAAGAGAATACTATTAATAATCATATGGGGAGAACAGGCAAAAACTATGACTGTCCTGGGCAAACTGGGACATAATGGTCACCAAGATAGGTCATGTAAGATGAAGACTGAGATTTGGCCATTGGATTTAGCATCATAGTAATCATTGGTGAGCATGATAGGAACAGTTTTAGTGCAATAGTGAGAAGAAAATTTGACTGAAGTGAGTTCAAGACAATGTGGAAGAAAAATTGATGATAACAAGTCTAGACATCTCCTTTGAGGAGTTTTGCTGTTAATGGGAGTAAAGGAAAATAGCTGGAGGTAAATGTAAGGTCAAGGAATTTTTGTTTTTTAGATGCATGACATGAGAACATGTTGTGCTGATGGGAATGACCCAATGGAGAACCAAAAATTCTAATGCAGAAGAGAGAGGGGAGAATTGCTGAGCAAACTTCTCAAGTAAGCAAGAGACGATTACAACACTGTAAATTATACTTCAACTAAAAAAAAAAAGAACTCACAGACACAGAAAACAAACTGTGGTTACCAGGGAGGAGAGGGGATGGGGAGGGATAAATTGGGAGTTCGAGATTTGCAGATACTAACTATTATATATCAAATAGATAAACAATAAGTTTATATTGTATAGCCCAGGGTACTATATTCGATATCTTGTAGTAACCTATAATGAAAAAGAATATGAAAATGAATATATGTATGTATATGTATATATGTATATGACTGAAACATTATGCTGTACACCAGAAATTGACACAATGTTGTAAACTGACTATACTTCAGTAAAAAAGAGAAGATAAGAACCAACATATGAGTTGTTATTATCATTGTAATGTTATTGTTGCCCTTATTATTATTTTATTTCTTTGAGTACAAAAAACCTTAAAGTCTTAGAAAGGATAGAGATGAAGACAGAAGGTATTAACTACACCCATAGTAAATAAGGTATGTTATGTGAAATGTTCCCTTCCCACAACTTGTCTGCCACTGTGCTTCTTAAGTCTCACCACATGGCAGGTCTTTCTGAGTGGACCACAGTGAATTTGCTCCCATTGGCTGGAAGCTTCAGCAAAGTAGATTTTGGTTTAATAGAAAAAAGAATACTTCTGACAGAGCTGTCTGCTTCCAGAGGATCTGAGTTACCTGTCACCAGAATATTTAAGCAGGGCACTTTAGTGGCAAGAGTAATCTATACATTCTGAACCAAGAGAAACTGAGATTCATCTCAAAAGCCAGTGCAATTTTGTAGAAGGGACTCAGGCAGAGATTACATAGAGTTAAATTCTATTCTCTGTGGTTCATACCCTTTGTATCTTACTTCTTATTAAACACTCAAATAAGGACTTGGTTCTCATGGTAATAGAAATAAATTAAAAATTCCTATTTTTAAAAAATAGGTATATATATTCTTATAATATTGTACTAATACCATGCAGTACATATTTTACTGCTATAAGTATTCGAAAAAAAAGGAGATTATTTTTAAATGAGATATAATTATTGGAAACAAATAAATTATACTGGGTCAAGGAGGGCCAAGTAGACAAAAAATTATTTGTATTAACAGATTGCATGAAGGCTTAACCTGGAGCTCTCATAAAACAGCCATTTTATTGGTTTTCAGGAAGAAGGAATAGAGAATAAAGTACAATAATGGACGTATTTCAAGAAGGAAACAGTACACAAAATATACTTGCCAATAGGTAAGGGAAATAGTAGATTTGAGATACACAGTGGGTATAAGTTTAACAACTTATCAAAATGACCTAAGTGGAAAATATACGGTAGGGAATATTAGCAGAATGTGAAGTGCCATACTGACAAATGTGGACTTGAGAAGAGAGAGAGAGAGAGAAAATGAATGAGGCAGAAGGAATCCTAATAAAAGCCTGGTGTCCCAGCTGGATTATATCTGTGTCTGTTGCCCTGCCTAGTACTTCCTTCCCTGTCTCCTCTTTATTTTTCTTTTCCTGCCAATTCTCCTTACTTCTGTTTCTCTCTTTCTGCCTTTTTCCACTTCCTTTCCCCCCGGCCTTATTCTTTCCTCATCTCTTCTCCTTGCCAAATGATATATTCAATGATGTCCTCAGATTATTGCTTAGCAGTCCTGGTGGCTGTAAGGTCAGAGATCTCTGATTTTGAACAAGGTTCAAAATCACATTCATAGCAGCATATTTCATGCAGAAGATGTGAGGGATTTTTGGCAAAGAATAAAACATTATGAAACCTAGTACAAAGATGAACAAACAGTTCTTGTAAGTAACAAATAACTATGACTAAATGCAGCTATACACAACTCATAGACAAATCATGCATTTCTATATAAAGGAACTATAGATATGAGGAACCAAGTGTACACAAGAAAGTTAACTAGTAATCTACACAGGCTGAAAGGAGAAAGTTCAAAATCCATGCTTATTTATCTCCTATATTAACCACTCACAATCCTTGTTCGCTGATCTCCTCTCATAATTGCAGTAGTTTTTAAATGCAATTGTGAGGACTGCTTGTGTTTCCTGCCTTACTCTCACAATGATGGATTGCATGTTTATATTGACTCGAATTCTCTTCATCTCCTGCTGTTTTCTGACTGTACATTGTGCACAACGTAAGAAATTTTTTAATTGCTTTATTTCCATAGGTTGAAGATGTAAAGAATGAATTTGATATTAATCACAGAGAGTATCAAGGCTGCAGTAGGTAGCCTAAGGGACTAGACAGTACTCTAAGCAAAGGTTCTGTTGTTAAAAATTCACAAACCTGAAAGTATCTGATTCTTTTAGAAGATGTTTCCTTTTAGAAGGGATAAATAATTGTTTTCTTTTGATGCTGACATGTTTGTCTCTGATCTCTAAGATAAATATGAAAAAATTCTATGGCCTACCCACTAAAATGTTTATTTGTAACAATATCAGTGATTGTCTTAGGCTACTTTTATTTAACACTTTGTTTCTTATAACATGTAAGGCTGTGCTTTATTTTTCAGAAAATTTTCACTCTGTAATGTGTTCAATACAAGCATGTCCTTACTTAATATAATAAAAACCATGTGAATTCCTATAAAAGGAAAGAGGTAGCCAAAGAAATGAGTTATATAATCGTATCTGTCTATAAAACAGAGCCTAACATTTTTGATGAGCTAAGTACAATTCTTTTTCAAAATATTGCCTGTTGAAAGCATATGTGACTTAAATTTCTCCAAGCAGTACCATTTGACCCACTTATTTTGGTAAGGGATTTTTTCAGTGTTGTTTGGTAGTTAGATGATCAGTGGTGCATTGTGGTCAACTGAAGTGGTTTCTAGATTCATAGAAACTATATTGAAGTACTGTATTTTTCTGTCACCCTTTCGTTTATTTTAAAAATACATTTCTGTAGCAAAGTCAGTGTGTCATATTTTACATGAAGAAAAAAAATCTGCTCTCCAAAGGGCAAACAGTTTTCCTTTGGATTCTATAGGTCTGATATTATTGGAGATATTTTCCCTTTCTGCCTGCCACCTCTAACCCTGTGACTCAGGTCATTTGAAATCTCACTCTTACAGAATCTTTTCTTTGTGTTTAGGCTTGTGGAGGATCAAAATTATTCCCCCTTTCTTGTAATTATACTTTCCATGCATGTTTATAGGTCCTGTGACTCCTAATAAATTGTCCTACTCACTGATTTTCAGACTCTAGAAAACCTTTTCTCAGTCTAGAGTGCTGGAAGAGATACTACAGCCATACCACTCACAGAATGACTCTCCAGAGTAGCCTTCAAAATATCAGAAAATCATTAACAATTAGGGCTGACATGCCTGCAGCCCCCAGCGACCTCCCAGTAGAGTAACTACTCTAACCTGCCTCAACCAGAGCCCTTTGAAATTGAAGAAAGCAGTATTAATACTTATTCCAGGACAACAGACATAAAATGGAACTGTCCTGGAAAACCAGAATATATGCTTTTTTGCTTGTTTGTTTTATAATTAAAACATTTTTAATTTTTTGAAGTATAGTCAGTTACAATGTGTCAATTTCTGGTGTACAGCGTAATGTTTCAGTCATACATATACATACATATATTTGTTTTCACATTCTTTTTCATTATAGTTTACTACAAGATATTGAATATAGTTCCCTGTGCTGTGCAGAAGAAATTTGTTTTTTTATCTATTTTATATATAGTAGTTAATATTAGCAATTCTCAAACTCCCAGTTTATCCCTTCCTAAAGAATACATGTGTATCCTATCTTTGGATATATTGTTTTGTATTCCCTTAGCCAGAGAGGATGCTCGAATTTAGTCCAAAAGAATTTTATTTCAAATGTTAGATGTGCTTTGAGCTATAATGCTGTGTATTGACTGTTTTTAAAGCCATGTTGTGAAAATCATCGGGTACAAAATAACAGAATGAAATCTTGTTTGTTGTTTATTTTGATTTTCGGAGACTCGTACTTGAAAAAATGATATTTGAACATTTCAAAGTACCACCAAGTTATTTTCATTTCTATATTTTAAGATTCTTTAACATAAATGGTTTTTCTAACATGTAGAATTTTTCACATGTGTATTAGCCAAGTTGAAACATTTGTTCTGTATTGTTGAGGGATTTTTGAATGTTGTTATTTACAGCCAATTGTACATCTGTGGCTGACTTTGATGACTGTCCAGGGAATATAACAGATTTCTGTCCAGAGTATAGTGTTTGTGCATGCAAAGATGGAAAGCCTTTCTGCAAGTAAGTGTTTCTATATGCTGTAAAAGCAGAGTAAGTACAATATATTGTAAGTAATAATTCATTCTGGTTTTGCTTGCTATATTCAATGATGCAATACTTGTTTTAAAATAATATTTTAGTCAGTACTAGCTCCTACACATATAGCACAGTTATTATAGATTCCCTAAAATAGTTTAATCTACTGTTTTAAAAAACAACATAATAAAAATTTAAAACATTAACTGAGACCGTTTATATTAACCTTAAGAGATTAGCACCATGCAAAACTGGTCTTCTCAGACAGAATTTTTTATAGATAAGTTATATATATTCATAAGTAAACTGCTTTGCTGTTCTAAAGAAGAAAGATATAAGATGTGCCTTATGTTATGCAGTAGGAATAATCCTGACATGTTGTGTGTGAATAAAGTTCTTTGTAAATCAAGAAATATTTTAAATACACTGTGATTCCCCCTCTTTTTTTCCAGGTTTACTTTTTATAAAAGAATGTATTCTTTGAGACATATATATATATATATATATGTATATAAATTAGGCAGATTTTCTACTTTGTTCTAATCATAAAAATGAAAGTAGGGTAAAAAAAATTGGAAGAAGACCTAGGAAAAAAGGTAACAAGAATAAGGAAGAGTTCAAATGTGAGAGAAAGAGAGGCTAGGTGGGGAGGGGCAATGGTGAAAGGTTTTCCATGGTTCATGCCTCTTAAACTGAGTTTTGAAAACTGATAGTAAGAAAGCCAGGTGTAGGCAAAGGGACCAGTATGGGCAAAGGTCCTGAGATTTGGAAGAATTTTGTGTCTGGAGAAATG